CCTGTCAACAATGCGGCCTAGCTTGATTCTAAGATCGTAATTTGATTCTAGTGTCGTTTTACTTGATTCTAAGCTCATAATCCAGCACAAATTTCAGCTATCCTTCTAACTGTGTGGATTGTCTTCCTCATTTTCCTAAAATTCTCGGTTTTTGGGGTTAATCCGCTTAAGCTTTTTCGCGTGCACATCGATTTCCCTGGAAAAGAATTTTTGACCAATGTCTGGGATGCCTGCTGTCACGAAACTGAATTCCATGAGAACTCTCAAATCTCAAATTCCCCGGTATTCTGCAAAATTGATATTATTTTTTTAGTTATATCTCATTTTCTCATTGGCCAAACGACGAGAAGAAAATGAACTTCTTGTTTTTTTATTATGTAATCATCATAACCACCCTCGAATATTGCTTCATTCAATTGTACTGGTCATGATATTTTCATTTTCATTCTCTTCACAACTATAAAATTATCAAGAATTTGAGATCTAACTTTTTTGCATAATTTTCCGAAATCGCAAATCAGATTAGTAAAAAAGCAAAAGATGGCAGTAACAGGCGCGATGATCAATAGTTTTAATCGGTATTATTTGGAAAGAGAAGTGCAATTCCTCTGTAAATTCTTGTACTCGAATTTTCATTTCGTCTTGTAAACAAAGGCTAATGGCCTCTAAACAAAATAAACTCAGTCAGCTAGCATTTTGCTTAATAAATGGCAAAGGTCAAGTAGTTGTCCTACATAGGTCCGGCAAAATATTGATACTTGATACGGCGTTTCCGTCACTGACTTGCTGTTGATCTTCTCCAGTGACTGGACCGAAAACTACGCCTCTGAGTTCTATCCTAAGCTCGCCACATCCACAATACTCCATATAATCGAGTTAACAGATCTGACCAACGCATCAATGGCCTTCTTGCTAAACTTTTTACATTCCGTGGGTGCCAATCGATAACGCGTTTCGTCCATCTGTTGTCAGTCATCCTTGCTACCGGACCAGCCCGGCTTTTTTTTTCTTGCACATATCTGTTCTGCATCTTTCACACCAGAGCGTAATCGAAGCTCATTGTTGCGTATACGCTGTGTTCTGCTGACACGCAACTTTCGGACATATGAGAAGAAAAAAGGGTATGATACATCTTTGCTCTGTTGTAACAGTTGAATTGAGAATTCACATGGAAAAAAAGGAAATGAAGCAACATGAATTTTCGGCAATGCCAACAAATTTTTCTCAAAAAAATGTCTTAAGTCGAAGTGCTTCTATCGCTCAATGATTAGGTTGGTTGTCCCTTAAGCAGAAGGGAAGAGCAACACGATCGCTAGAAGGCTGGCTACCAGCCAATACTGCAACTCATGTTACCAGTTCCAGAAAGCCGATGTGCTTGGACGAATGTACACTGTAATCCACCCACAACTTCACTATGAATTTTACATGTAAAACGTACGGACAGAAAGATTCCATGTGTAAAATGCGCAATCTGCAACGTAATTTTTGAGTATATAGCAGCAGGAAAATAAAGGTATTTCTTTAAATGCAAAAAGATCTCATTTAAAGAAATAAATGGCAGCGCGCACCAGACTAGCCGGTGCGATCATGCGTTTTGTGCAATTCACCCCATCGAACGATTGCCTGT